ATAGAAACATTTATTTAAAATAATAATTTCACCTTCACTATGGCTATTTTAAATTTACGACCAAGGGTCAACCTGATTTTTAATCCTCCGAACTTGATTTCACAACGAGAAAGTAATAAGATCGTTGAAACGTACTTATTTGTCAAAGAAACTTGCAAAAATGTATAAATAATAATATGTAATGTTTTAACAAATTTTTGGAAGTATAAATTAATAATAAAATTGTGAAAATTAATAAATTATACGTTATTATAACATTAATAGAATTATGACTAAACCGAAGTTCGAAGTCGAGTATTTAAAGTCTGATATTACGTGCCTAGCGAGTGCCGGTAATTGTTAAAATTTGTTTAATAATTAGTAATAGAAATTCTAATTGATTCTAATGTATACAAGTGTTACAAGAAGGCTGAGTGTGTACAGGGTGGACATAGACTAGCTAGTAGCCCCCGACCACTCTATTCACATCTCAGAACCTTCAGGTCAAAATACGCCGCGAAGTGTCTAGGGCCCAGTATAAAGGGTAAATGATTTCGCGGGACATCGGCGGGTCCTTATATACCTGCGGTACCCTCTCCCCAAAGTCATTAGCAAAATCGTCGGTTAGGTCAGGCGGGAAATTTTCGCGGGAGATTTTCGCGGGAGATTTCCGATATCGTAACACGGTATAATTTATCAATTTTCACAATTTTATTAAAAATTTATACTTCCGACAATTTGTTATAACATTGCATATAACAATTTATACGTTTTTACAATATTCTTCAATGGAAACATAGGTTTTAGCGTTCTCGTTACTATTTATTTCATGGTATTGTAACAAGCAAACGTTGAATACATTTTTCATTCGTGTAAGAAGAATTATTTAACACGATAAATTTAGCTGTACTATGGTTATTTTTAATCTACGACCACAGGTCAACCTGATTTTTAATCCCTACGAAATTAATTTAACCACGAGTAAGTAACGAGAACGCTAAAACCTATGTTTCCATTGAAGAATATTGTAAAAACGTATAAATTGTTATATGCAATGTTATAACAAATTGTCGGAAGTATAAATTTTTAATAAAATTGTGAAAATTGATAAATTATACCGTGTTACGATATCGGAAATCTCCCGCGAAAATCTCCCGCGAAAATTTCCCGCCTGACCTAACCGACGATTTTGCTAATGACTTTGGGGAGAGGGTACCGCAGGTATATAAGGACCCGCCGATGTCCCGCGAAATCATTTACCCTTTATACTGGGCCCTAGACACTTCGCGGCGTATTTTGACCTGAAGGTTCTGAGATGTGAATAGAGTGGTCGGGGGCTACTAGCTAGTCTATGTCCACCCTGTACACACTCAGCCTTCTTGTAACACTTGTATACATTAGAATCAATTAGAATTTCTATTACTAATTATTAAACAAATTTTAACAATTACCGGCACTCGCTAGGCACGTAATATCAGACTTTAAATACTCGACTTCGAACTTCGGTTTAGTCATAATTCTATTAATGTTATAATAACGTATAATTTATTAATTTTCACAATTTTATTATTAATTTATACTTCCAAAAATTTGTTAAAACATTACATATTATTATTTATACATTTTTGCAAGTTTCTTTGACAAATAAGTACGTTTCAACGATCTTATTACTTTCTCGTTGTGAAATCAAGTTCGGAGGATTAAAAATCAGGTTGACCCTTGGTCGTAAATTTAAAATAGCCATAGTGAAGGTGAAATTATTATTTTAAATAAATGTTTCTATACGAATTAAGAATCTATTCAACGTTTGTTTGTTGCAATACCGTGAAATAAATTGTATTATATATTTTCTCAGTTTAGACTGAATTTAAAGTTCGTAAGGATTAGAAATCAGGTTGACCTGTGGTCGTAGATTAAAAATAGCCATAGTGAAGGTAAAATTATTACGTTAAATAATTGTTTTTATACGAATTAAATATTGATTCAACGTTTATTTGTTGCAATACCGTGAAATAAATTGTATTATATATTTTCTCAGTTTAGACTGAATTTAAAGTTCGTAAGGATTAGAAATCAGGTTGACCTGTGGTCGTAGATTAAGAATAGCCATAGTGAAGGTAAAATTATTACGTTAAATAATTGTTTTTATACGAATTAAATATTTATTCAACGTTTATTTGTTGCAATACCGTGAAATAAATTGTATTATATATTTTTTCTGTTTACACTAAATTTAAAGTTTTGTTTACATGTTATAACAATTAGAATGTAGACGTTTTGCCGTTTCACGGTTTTTCCTCTGTTAATTATGTGTTTATAAATCATTTCAAACTAAAGCAGCACCATGCCCACCCTTAATTAAACCGTCTCAGTAGTTTACCGTAATTAATAATCTATGTTTGGAATTTATGCGAGAATTTTTGAATTTTAGTAAATACTAGAGTCAGTGCATCGCGTATTGAAATAATAGCTTCATCCCTAGTTCGTTTATTATTGAATATTTTTGTACGCGTTTAACTTATGCTTTTCCCCAATTCTCGTCGCGTATTTTATTCAAATTTTCTTATATTCTAGAATTGAAAAAACAATTTTTCACTCTCGTTCTACGAAAGTTTACTTCAATAATAATATTGAAAATTTTTCTGGTGATTTGGTTTAGTAGGTAGTTGTGTTGTGTATTGTCTGCTCAAATATGAGCTGCTTAATGTATATGCTTAAAATGTATTTTCTTGTGGCCGCCTGACAGCACCTGTAAATCTGGCGTGAACGTGTTAATAAGTAAAGGTTGTTCAAATTATATCGTGTTTTACGTCATTTTCGTCCGAAAAATCTCATCAGTATGTTAATAAAAATTTCGGGATAAAAAACCGTAAAATTAAATAAGTTGATATTTAAATCGCTTGGTTGCCTCGACTGACGTTTCATGCTTATCTTTTATTGGCTGTCCTTGTCTACGTTCGGCAAACTAGAAAGGCGTGCGCGAGGCTCGAAAACGTAGTCCCCGACTCTACGAGTGTCAGGTTTAGCTTCCTTGCGGTCTGACAGTTGTGGAGAATATACTGTATTATGGCAGCAGGTGTTCTAGGTACTGTAGATTAAACTATATTTTACAATTTACTAGCCCACTGCATGTTTTATACTATATTACAGAAAATAAAAATTGAAGACATTGTAAATTAGAATTTTCACAATGTGTATCGTTTTAAATTTCTGTTTCTGAAAAGCAAATATATCTTTGTTTGTAAGCTTTTTTGGCAGCTTATTATGTACATATATAGTAACAGCCTTAAACATCGTGAGAATGGTTACGAAGTCTGTGCATCGTTCATAGCGTGTTAAACCTAAAACGTAGGGAGTCGTTTCAACACAAGAGACTTTAAATAATTGGACCGATTACATGATTATAATGTATATGAATTATTATACAGGATATTCCGTAACTGGTGGTACAACCGTAAAGAGAGTGATCGTGAAAGTCTACATGAAAAAATAAACCGAAAATATAGAATAAAATTTGTCCATAAATTTTTTCATTCGCTACTAACACTTCGTCTTATTTATCTGCAAATTATCCTACAACATATGAGATCATTTTAAAGTATTCGTATGTTTTAAGTTTGAATAAAAATTCATTGAATTTGAGTATTCAAATAGGTAAGGTTTTTCATATTATTCAGACAGTTCGAATTATCACTAAAATGTTTATGAATTCGTTCAATAATGGGAGTATCTCAAATATTAAATATATTTGTTGAATAAATTCTTTGAATAAGTTCATTATAAATTTTGATTATACATCTAATAAAACCAGTATAAAGATATATTTTTTTGAATATTCAGAAGTATACGATTAGCATGAGATTCAAAGCCACATTAAACTTCGTTGAACTTATTTTCTCACTCGTTGCTAACTTCAAATAAAATCATCCATCACCAAGAAATTCTTTATCGGTATTTTTCATTTTTGTATTTCGCATCAAAATTGCATTAAAACATTTATATCGCTCATCTGAAACTACGTGAAAACATCTTTCTCCCCTTTATCCTACTTGACATGCTCGTTGATTGGATCTGTATTTACGAGATTGCCTGAGATAAAAATAAACGTTTTATTTTATGTTCTTTTCTTCTCGTTATTGCTAATAAGCAAAAACAAATACATTTTTATTGACAGGCGATTAAGGAAGTACTGTACGTTATCCACATTCAGTTGCATTATGTTTATAGTTTATTAGAATATATTATTAAGATATACATAGCTTTGTCCGTCGTGTCAATCTTCGAGTCTTGTTTACTCTACTTACCTATGTTGATAAAACATGTTACACCAAATGGTAAACATATGTATATAGTTCTTGTTTTGAAGATACATACTTAATATCAATTTTTTATCGCAAATGATTTCAATTGTAATATCGCTTGGTAGGAGAATTTCCATCGAACTTTACGTAAGCGTAGGAAAATTAGTCACGTAATTTATGCACATGCACGCGATGCAATATAAAAAAGTATGAAACAAATTGCGATGTTTACTTTAAACACCCTGCTATCTATAGGAAATGGTAAAAATAGAGACAAGGCTAATGTCAAGTAAAAATTCTACCCGCTAGGTAAAACAGTATTGTTGATATGATTATATGCGGTTATTCAGATTATTCGAGGAATGCGTTCAAAAAGTCGATAATCAATGTCACGTTGATAATGTCGTTGTTCTACACTTTCGTCGAAAGCTGGTAAAAAAGGAACTCTATATGTTTTCGCTATACAATTACATATCGACACATCGTTGCTCTACGAAACATATTTCGGTGATGTAGCTAGACGACAGAGAAAAAATGTGAGAAAGCTATTCCATGAGACTTCTATAGGATGATTATCCACGGTTTGCCACAGCCTTGAATAAGTTCAAATTACGTCATCGAAGGAGAGTTGCGAATAATTTCCGACGATGGTTCGTGACAAGTAAGCACCATGGCAACACGAGCAGACAAGAATTTTCCGGCATATAACGATCGAGTGGACCTGCGATCACATCAGATAATCACTTTCGAGCTAGAGGTGGGGAATCGTAGCAGGCGAAGAGCGCGGGGTAAGCGACGCGTGCGCTGAAACGCTCCTCTACATAAATATCGCAGCCGCGCTCCTACGGTAGTAACACGGACCGTGCTATCAAGCGCTCGTTGCCTTTATGACCAGTGCCTTTTCTCTTTGCAACACAACACGATAGGATACGGCCCGCGATTCTGCTTTACGACCATCGATCAAACGATCACCTAGAATTCCAGCACTTCATGCAATTGCTGGACCAGCAATAATAGCGGTGAGTAATCACACTGATTTTCCTTTTTGCGTTTGTTGATCGATTTTCGATCAAAGTGATGTATTTCTCAATTGGAAAAAGAAAAGCATTTCAAACGAATTTTTGATAAACATTAAAGAAATATTTATGGAAGAAATGTTTTTTTTGTGTTAGACATATGTGACTTGGTTTAGTACACATCGTGAAATCGAAAATGTTAAGGAAAAGTTCTGTGCTTATTAAGATTAATGATTTCGTATTGTTTCGTACAATCAAGTAGATTGGAATGAAAAATTATTACAATTTTCTTTCCATTCCTTCATATATATTGTAGTAGCTAAGTGTTTTAGAATGTTAGTAGCAATTGATGTATTGTTCATAAAGTGATAGATACGCTGTTTTCAAAAGTTTGTAACTAAAATATAAAGTTTAATTCGTTTTTTATAGTAATCTTCATAAAAGGTGATAGAAGGTGAACATTTTTCAAATAGTCTAAAGTTTTAAGTGTAAGTGACCACTAAACACGTGTAAATAATTTCAAGCGAGACTTATTTACTAAAAAAGTAGGAAATTTTCGTACGGTCCTGAGGAAAAGCAAACGTGATATATTTTTCATCCGTTTAACCAAACGAATGAAATTATAATTGATGCTTGTGAAAAGTTCAAAGTGAAGCGTTAATGTCATAATTTATAGGGGAGTCTCTTTTGTTATACCGATGTTTGCCGCCAGATAAATTTACGCTGGCGCCTTTCTCTGCGTTCATGTGTATTTTACGAAAAATTGTGATGCAAATTGTTAATAGTAAACAAGTTTTTTCTGCAATAATAACGTTATTCTTTTCAATTTTTTTTCTCCAATGGCGGATTATTAAGAGGTTAATTGTCTTTCTAATAGTTTGGTATGTGGAAAATTCGTTCAACTGGCATATCTGAAGTTTCGCTTTGTAATGGAAACGATTATCAGCTCGCAAGTCAAACAAAGGAGGAACAAGAGCGTTTTACACTTTGTACTGGACAGGAGAAGCCCGTGATTCATTAGTGATGAATTGTATATTGTATCGCGTGCATAAATAATTTCATTATGACGCTAGATAAATCTGAATCGCCTCAAGATTGTGCACTTCAGTTTAAAATAATATCGATTCTCGAAATTGAGCGATTATATGGTAATTAATCGAACTGTTCCTTTCTTACTGCACATTTCTTTTTATCGTTTTAAGTAAAAAAGCGAAGGGAATTGTTTAACGATTTTTTGCTTTTTTCTTAAGAAAGTATAGTTTTTTTTTCTATTATGGTAAAAATAGTTACTATTATTTATAGTATACGGTAAAATTTGTTCTTACTATAAAAAAAATAAGTAGAATGTGTATGACAGAAGGGATGAAATAGTAGAGTATTAATTGTTTACATTTTACGGTCATTGATCTTAAAATAAGAAAAACATTGTAAAGGAAATATTACTTTGTTGTTGCTTCTCATTTATCTAAGGTCGAGTAAAGCTATTTGTAAATTTTAATTGGTCAGATTTTATAGTCATTCAACTTCAAATGATGCTTATCTTTATTAGAACGTCTAACAAAAGAAAATAATACGGCAATTAGTTGGGAGTATCTCTTTCCCGTTTCCTTTTTATCTCTTTGTCAGGCTATAGTACAATAAAGTTATTTATATATATATTTTTTACATTCTTTATTCTTTCCTGTATTCTTATCAATTTTTCTATATAATGATATAACAGATTGTTATACTTCTAATATTTAGTCTAATTCATTTCTAATTCTATATTTTTTTGTAGTTTTTCTTCTACAAAACATAATATGGTTTGACATTTGTTTGTATTCGTATTGATCTGTAATTGAGTAGAAAAAGTTGTGTTTCATGTTTTTAAAAAATGATCGAACAAAATTTTGTGTTTTGACTGATCCTACTTGATTATATTTGCAATCCATTTTTATCGATCTCCCTGTATACAGTGAGAAGGATTAATCGGTGGTTCGGATAAGACACTGACCCACATCGTTAAAATAGAAGATGTCGAATGGTATGAAATTTTCATTCGGCGTATATAGGCAGCTTGCATTTCGACCGATTGAACCGTGCCCTCTGGGAATGTGAAATACGATAGTAACATCTAATGCATCCGAATACACGCGCTTCGCTGTAATAGTGATTACCATGATACCGGGAATCGTATTTATACGGGCAAAGAATACGAGATACAAGAGAAAAAATTTTTATAGCCGGTCGATCGTATCGAAATGAATGCGACATTTCGATGAATTTCCAGGAATTCTAACCTGTCTTTTGTGATTGACCGATGTCGATTTATTCCTAACCTATTATGTACGTAATATGTATCGTGAGAAATTTTCCTCATCCGCAATCGTAGTTTCTTTTGATTATACATTGGAAAATAAATAAAGAGGGTGGATTGTATTTTGAACATTGAATTTTATGTCCTAGGTTTTAATGGATAAATTCTGGGAGTATACGAATACTTTAAACGACGCGCATGATGTTTTTCTCGATAACCACATAAAAATAGTAAAATAATCTAATAAATGCTCGTGTTTGATTTAATGCTTGAAACCAGTCGATGATATCATTAAAACGTTTCGTTTGTGTTGGTCAATGTTTTCTCGGGTATTAAATGTCCCGTGAAACTTATTCGTTACCTACATGCATATTCATCTATTTACCCACTGCGATGTGGCTACTGGCATTGGTAATAAACAGCAACTTCCGTAAACAGTTTGACTCAACCGGTTTTCCACGCTTCCATAACTATTTACCTTTCGTCGATACATTTCATGCCACACAACGAGTGTAACCACAAATGTATACGTGCGACATGCTTGATCACATTTCGTTTTGTTCTTTTTTTTCTTCTGAAGTACTGTTGTAAATTTTTATGCCTTATTCGTTAATTTGACTACAGTAGTATGCAATGTTGATTTGTGTCAGTTATGAGAATAACCTACTAGAATATTTTCTTTCGTCTAAAAATGTTGTAAAGAAATCAAATGTAATGCAACGAAATCTGTGTGACCCTAATTAACCCAACGTCCTCCAGCGGTAGCCAAGAATAAGAAAGAAGAAATCAACGTGGCGTAAGCAAGGCATCGGGAAGAGGTAGTGCGCGTGCACGTGATTCGTTTTTTAGTCTAGGCGACACACTGAACCCAGCCAACTAGGCGGACAGTCTACAATGTGTATAGTGTATGGGTCATTGGGTCTGGAGTATCGCGTGGATATGTTTTCACGAATCTCCATGGCAATACGACGTCAGTGGCCGAATCGATCCGGTGTTTTTTTTTCGTATTAACGAGACTTGACTGGAGCGGCAACACGTGTAATCATCGGACGACGCGTGTCTACTCCGAAAACTAACAAAAGTGTGTCGCCAGACTGTTGCCTGTCGGTTCAGGCACGAACTCGCTCGAGAAATATTATCTACGATCTTGACGTGCGGATTACCGAGATTATTGTTTGTTTCGTGGGCTAACCTGCCCTTCGCAGTGAACGCTTATACTTTGTGCGGAAAAATTTGTAATGTGGGACGTAGAAGTGTTTGTTCATGAAGTAGGTCGATTAAATTTTATCATTTGATGCACTTCATGGAGAAATGTATTAGGTTAGTGTATATGAAATATCGTTTTCTGAATACCTTTATTATTTTTAATATTATTTAGACTTTATTACGTTTCTAATAATCATAGTAAAATTAAGGCATAACACAATAGGGAGCAAATTAGAAAAATATCAGTTTAATCGTTTTCGAGTTTGCCGCCAATTTCAAACTTCGAAGAAATGACAGTTTATACGTACTAACCTAAAAGATAATAGCTAATACAGAATATAATAGTATGTGAGGAGAGAATTAATAAATGTTCTTGTTTTTAAATAATACAATGTTGCAAAGTCCCCTTTTTGCCGAATTAACGTAAAAGTAACTTTTGCGATGAAAATTAAGTAACTCTTTGTACTGCTCGTTTTGAAATACCGTACATTCAGGACGCAACAGCTTGGGATAGTTATTTTTGAAATCGAAAGTGTAATCTGTAGTGAATGTCACAGTTTGCAGTGATACATTCCGTTCGACGCGGTGTAATCGATCGTTCTGTGCAAAGATGTAGAACGTTCTCATTTAAACTCCTCGAAAATAGAAGGAAAGTATCGACTGCACTGAAGGCGACACTGTTTCGTTGCTGTATATACATACATTTTCCTAAAACATAACAGCAACTCGGCGATATCTGTCGCCGAATTAAATACTATTATAGCTGTCCATTAAATAATCCAACTCAGCCTGTAAATTTTCTATGATAAATATTTTTGTAATATTTAAGCTTTACGCGTGGAATCGTTATCTTGATAGTAACAGAGATAATTCTCATCTTATCTGCACTTTTTAGTAAATTCTTTTTTAATTTCCATCAATTTTTACACTTGAAGTACACCCCTTTCAAAAGTACTTCAAATATGTCTTTAAATATTTTTCGTTCTTCGTTTATTATTACGTTTTCTATCCTACTGTTATGAGGCGTCTGGTTTGTTTAGATGCTTCATGCGAACTGATTGAAGGACGTTATCGAAAACGCATCATACTATGCATCATCGATGATGCGTTCTTGGGACACGTTACACTGCGCATGGACGCTCCCCTACTCCAAAAAAAATATTAATAAAAGAACCCTCGAGAGGGCCCCGGTAGAGCTTGTTCCTATTTAGAGTTCAAAGTGTAAAGAAAGACAATTGTACGCGACGCGCAGCCGAAATACCGAAGGATTTCGTGTCAATCAGATTAATTGTGTATAAAATGAAACCATTCTAAGTTAATGTTTGTGAAAAATACAAGTTTGAAGACTAATTCGTTTTCCATATCATAACATTATTCTATGAAAGCAAACAAAACATTTTTAGTTCGAAAATTTCCAAAATACTTACACGTGTGCTATCATAATATTGAAATAAAAGGAATACTAAATTCAATTTCACGTGAGATAGAAAAGTCGTATTAT